ACACTATCTGAGGGCAAGCTGTTCCACTGGTTAATTACCTTCACTGTAAAAAAATTCACGGTTTCTTCGCTCCTTGATTAGTTTCCATCCATTGTTTCTTATCTTGCCCTCTGGTGGTTTGGGGAAAAAAATAAATATTAAATTAGCAGAGTTGGGAGGACCCTTGTAGGTCATCTAGTCCAACCTCGCGCCCATGCAGGAGGACCCTACACTATTTCTGACAAATGGCAGTCCAATCTCTTCTTGAAAACCTCCAATGAAGCTCTCACAACTTCCGAAGGCAAGTTGTTCCATTGGTTGATTTTGCTGTCAGAAAATTTCTTTTCTAGGTTGAATCTCTCCTTGATCAGTTTCCATCCATTATTCCTTGCCTGGCCTTCAGGTGCCTTGGAAAATAGCTTCACCATCTCCACTCTCTGGCAGCCCCTCAAATACTGGAACACTGCTATTCTGTCTCCCTTGGTCCTTCTCTTCACTAGACTAGCCATGCCAGTTCCTGTAACTGTTCTTGTTTTAGTCTTCAGGCCTTTTATCAGCTTAGCTGACCTTCACAGCACTTTTTCCAAAGTTTCAGCATCTTTTTTTTAATGTGATGACCCAGGTGTGGCTTTATGAAGCAGTAGTAATACTTCATGTGATTCTATTCCTCTCTTTATACAACCAAGGATTTTAGTTGCTTTTTTGTCTGCTGCCACACATGGGTGATTCATGCTTAAGTGGTCATCCATTCAGACTCCAAGGACCCATTCAGTTACTATTTTTGAGCCAGGTTTTAAGTAATCTGTTTTTCCTGAACAGGTGTAAAATCTTACTTTTCTCCATATTAAATTTTATTTTGTTGGGATTCAGCTTAGTCTCATTTGGATCTGAAAGGCACAACAGGCATACAAATAAAAATCCATAGTGACATGGTGGTCAGTAGTTATAATGCAGTACTATCGGCTAATTGCCCACAGCCTGGAGTTTGATTCTGTCAGGATCATGGTTGATTCAACTTTTATCCTTCTGAGGTGAGTAAAATGATGACCCAGATTGCCAGGGAGCATATTCTGACCTTGTAAATTGCTCAGAGAGCGCTGTAAAGCATTGTGGAGTGGTACTAGTGCTATTGCTACATAGTTGTGATGGCGAACTTATAGCACGCAGGTAGAGCCCTTTCTGAGGACACGCGAGGAGTTGCCATACCAGCTTCAGTGTGCTGGAGAAAAACAACCCAACAAGCAACCTGAGAACCCATTTCTCCCTCCCCAGAGAAAGCCTCTGGAGCTGGGGAGGGAGAAAAATGGGTCCACCGTGCTGTCACGTGCCAAAGTGGAAGGAGGGTGGGGGTTGCGCGTGCTTGCACAGGGGGAGGGCAGATAGAATTATGGGTGTGAGTATGCGCAATCCCCACTCTTTTGGCACGCAATGGCAAAAAGGTTAGACATCACTGCTGTGTAGTTTCTCTCGAGCGTGGATCCTTTTATGAGATGTAAGACTACAATTCTGAGCAAAGCTCTTTCCACATTCCCTGCATTTATATGGTTTCTCTCCTGTGTGGATTTTGTTATGGCAAGACAGACCATACTTCCGAGCAAATGTCTTTCCACACTCCATACATTTATATGGTTTCTCGCCTGTGTGGCTCATCTTATGGCAATTAAGATGATATCTTCTAGCAAAGTTCTTTCCACACTCCATGCATTTATATGGCTTCTCCCCTGTGTGGATCATCTTATGTAAAATAAGATGACTTTTTTGAGCAAATGTCTTTCCACATTCCATACATTTAAATGGTTTCTCCCCTGTGTGGCGCCTTTTGTGGATAGTAAGTCCACTACTATAAGCAAAGGTTTTTCCACACTCCATGCATTTAAATGCCTTCTCCCCTGTATGGATCTGTTTGTGTATTCTTAGGTGATTGCTATGAGCAAAGGTTTTTCCACATTCCATGCATTTAAATGGCTTCTCCCCTGTGTGCATCCTTTTGTGTATTGTTAGGTAGCTGCTATGAGCAAAAGTCTTTTCACATTCCATGCATTTATACGGCTTCTCCCCTGTGTGGATCCTCTTATGGGAAATAAGATTACCTCTTCCAGCAAAGCACTTTCCACACTCCATGCATTTAAATGGCTTCTCCCCTGCATGGATCATCTTGTGGGAAATAAGATGACCACGTTGAGCAAAGGTTTTCCCACACTCCATGCACTTATATGGCTTCTCCCCTGTGTGGATCATCTTATGGCGAATAACACTACTTCTTTGAGCAAAGGTCTTCTCACACTCCATGCATTTATACGGCTTCTCTCCTTTGTGGATCATCTTATGGCGAATAACACTACTTCTTTGAGCAAAGGTCTTCCCACATTCCATGCATTTATACGGCTTCTCTCCTGTGTGGATCATTTTGTGGGAAATAAGATTACCTCTTCCAGCAAAGGTCTTTCCACACTCCATGCATTTAAATGGCTTCTCCCCCGTGTGGATTATTTTGTGTATTCTTAGGTCACTGTTATGAACAAAGTTCTTCCCACACTCCATGCATTTATACGGCTTCTCTCCTTTGTGGATCATCTTATGGCGAATAAGATAACCTCTTTGAGCAAAGGTCTTTCCACACTCCA